TAAGAGAAGCACCAGTAGGGCACAGTGTTGAACCACCTGGATGATGAGATGAAGGTAACTTTACAAGTGGAGCAAGCCAATTCTGGGAGCAAGTATGTTTTGAAGTCTTTGAAATTGTCATCAATCTACTACCTGTTCAGTAGTTGATCCCTTGTAAGAAAAGGTCTCTGAAAGTTTTATGAAGTAATCTGTCAAAATACACAAACCCTTGATTTTGTTTTGAGCAAATATCTTCTTGCACATCAGTATGAGACCATATGGTATTTATGGTTATAGTTAGAAAATGACATCATATATTAGTGCTTGTCTAAAATGGTCTTAATTGGTCTCTATGTAGTTATTTTCATCCATCTCATGTACTTTGGGTTGTGTTTTCTGTCCTGTGTTTTGATCTCTACTGTTAACTTTGTTTTGAGATCATAAAAGGGCTTGAGACTTTTCTAAAAGCCCATTACTTATTGGCATGTTTTGATTTTTTGACAGATTTATATGTTGCTTCAGTCTTTTAAAATACATTCCCAACAGTAGTAATAAGGTATTTTTGGGATTTGGGGTTATATCTAAATCTCACTTTCTGAAACAAAGCGATAAGTTTCACTTCTAAAATTCTGGCCTTTTAAGAATCGTTTTATTTTGATGTGAATTGTACTAGTTGATTTCAGTGTACCTAGTTTTCATAGGAGATGTCTCTTTTTTTGTGTTGAGATGCATTTTCTTTATTTCTCCATTCTTTTTTCTGATTCAAGCATTTCAATCCAGGGGAGAATGACTGAGCTCCTTTCTCTCTATAATTCCTGGGGGTGCCCAGGGATGACTAAACTATGCATACTTTATAGGTATTATCTCCTAGTCCTGCTCCACCTTGCAAAATGTTTCACAAACTAATTCATCTAAACCATAATCTTTAATTAGTGGTGACGCCCCACCCCAGCCCCATTCCAAATGGCTTGAGAGCTAAGCCATGTGGGAATTGTCATGGTGGCTGTGTTTTGTCCTAGGAGAGGGTCTGGTCATTACTAAGTAAAATGTCACCATGAATTACGACACAAGAGTTTTTATGCCACAACCTGTGCTTAAACCCTGGGGATGTCATAGGGAGCCAGTAGATGCAGTCCTTTTGCCTGAGGGAAAATAAATCTACTTCAAACACTGCAGCAGAAAGGTAAACCAAGCTTAACAATGAGTAAGAAGTCTATCCCTCATTTATTAGTGAACATTTATTTATTAACTACCATGGCCAGGCATCTGAATAAGGGAGTGAATAGAGCAATGATTAAGAGGGACACTGTCCCTCACGGAACTCTCAGGCAATACTTTTGTTGCTGTTGTTATTTTGTAATTTAATTTTACCTGGGAACTACCCAGTCTTGTTTCTTTATATATATGTATATATATTATATATATATTTTAAAGATGTGGGGTACAATTCAGGATTAGGTATGTAAGTGGATGTCATACAGATAAAGTTGGGGCCTCCCTTTGGTCTCCCCTTTGCCTGGTTTGAGATCAGGTACCTTATTGATGTTGTGTGCCCTCTACCTCCCACCCCGGCAGTATCCTGCTACTGCCAATACCTAAGTTTACATGTGGTATTGGGTGATAGTTTTGATATTTTGGATACTATTTTAGTAAATTCCACATTGTTTAAATGCATTTTTATAATACTGTTTAACCAAGAAGTTGGCAAAGTATCTAAACTTAATGATTTTCTTCAAATATACATATAATTAAAATATGACAGAAGTTTCTAGCTATTAAAGTGTACTTCTTATCCAGATTCATTTTTCACCATGAGAAACATTTAGTAGTAGGCAGGAGTACTGGCTGTAATGGACAGGTTTGACTTCATATATTCTTCATAATTTCTTACAGTTATCGCCAGTTTCCGAGGAACCGTCCCATATGGCCTGTCATTGGAAATTGGAGATACAGTTCAGATCCTGGAGAAATGTGATGGTAAGTAGCCTATGGTGATTGAGTTTGTATGAACAATCTCCTCAACATAGGACTATTCATAATGTTTACAAATTCTGTCCATACCTCTCTTAATCTCTGGAACTTTTCCAGTAGTCACAGCAATCCATTTTTGACAAAACTGTATTTTCTGCATTTTCAATGTCTGGCTACTGGAAAAGAATCATTTGGTATTTTTAAGATGATTGTAATATTATTCCTTATAGTCACTAGATACCAACAAAGTAAGCAACGGAAGCTGCTATCTGTGGAAGTTATGACTCTGTGCCCAACTAAAAGGCTGTTCTCAGAATCCTGAGGGTTTAATAGAACCTTCCAGGATGGGAAGAAACAAAAGTCCAGAGGTGAAATGGCTTAACCGTGGTTGGGTAACTGATGCCTGTGGGAGGGTTCCAACCTGGTCCATCTCAACTCTAGGCCTGCAGTCTTTATTGCCCACAATTCATGGTGGAATATATTGTATGACCTTGTATAATTATTATTAATTTATACAGCAGGTACCTAATAATTCTCAAATGTTTCCATTCCCGTTCCATGCAACATCCTTAAACTCTAGTTCTTAAAAAGATTTCAGTTGAAAGGTCTACTCTTTTTCTGTTTGTTTGTTCACAAAATGACTACTTTTTAAAGCCCTGTCAGTATATCTAAAAATATCCATTTTCCTTTTAAAGGTTTTCCTTACTGGAAATTTATAATCTGATAACATTCTATCATATCATGGCTTATTATAGATTAAATTATGTTCCCCCAAACAGAATTCCTATGTTTAGTTAGAGTCTGGCGTTAAATGGAGACTATACATGGATGTTTATTCTGTCCACTGTGATTGATACCTTTAAACCTATAATGAGAGTTCCTGTGTAATTACCAAATGGATTCTATTTCTACTTTGTATACAGATAAATATAAAAGTTATTTTGAATAGGTACATGAAAATGAACTCCATATCTAACAGGAGGTATTTTGTAATCTAAAACCTTTTATGAATAGCATACTTGGACAGAGACTTCTATGACATTTCTGCAATTCCCTAAATTTTTTGTTGGAATAATTTTTTATGAACAGATACATTTCTTGGTTCAGTCTTTATGGGGTCTAATAAACCCAAAGATACTGGGATTCTGATTTTCAATTATTTCTGCTCTCTTCAGACTGATTTTTAAGCTGTTAGGAATGATATTTTATTCTATATTAGTTGAAGAAAATATATTATAAGGAACAAAATTGTTTAAATATAAAGCTCAAATTTTTGCCTGGAAAATTCAATTAGTCAAAAAATCCATTAGATAGAATATTTATTACATAGCAAAATATTTTTTTACCAATAAGTAAAACAATTTCTACATTTGAAAAAAAATAAGCTGAAAATAATACTTTTTAAAATGCTATAGGCTAATCATATATATTCATATGTGTGTGTATATATGTCTCCCTTGTATTGGTATAAAACTATGAAAATACCTGTTCCCCCATGAAAATAATGCTGTAAAATTGATTTAGAGTTGCTTGGAGCTTGAGTCCAGTAGTACCTCCATTATGGGCAGCAGGAGACACGATCCAAGAACCTCAGTAGGTACCTGCAACCTCAGATAGTACCAAGCCCTATATAGCTGATGCTTTTTCCCATACATACACTTATAATAAAGTTTAGTTTACAAATTAGGCACAGTAAGAGATTAACAACAACAATAATAAAATAGAACAATAATAATAATACTCTGTTCATAATTTCATGAATAGATTTGTCCCTACCTAGACCGTAGCAACTTCAGCATGCAATTTTTTTTTTTTCATTAAGTTGATAACTTTCACCTTTTTGTCTAGAGCAGGGGTCCTCAACCTCCAGGCTATGGATCAGTACCAGTCCATGGCTGTTAGGATCCAGGCCGCACAGCAGGAGGTGAGCAGTGGGCCAGTGAGCAAAGCTTCATCTGTATTTACAGTCACTCCCCATCGCTAGCATTACTGCTTGAGTTACACCTTCTGTTAAATCAGTGGTGGTATTAGATCCTCAAAGGAGCACAAACTCTATCGTGAACTGCACTTGTGAAGGATATAGGTTGTGTACTCTTATTGCCTGATTAGCTGAAGTGGAGCTGAGGTGGTGATGCTAATGCTGAGAAGCAGCTGCAAATACAGATTAACATTAGGAGTGAGGTTTGACTGCACAGAGACCATGATAAATCAATTGTTTGCAGACTGATATCAAAGCCCCATCAGTGAGTGGCAAGTTAATTGATATACTTCAGTTGTACAGCCGCAGCTGATAGCAGGCTTTAAGTCAGAATCTAGCACTTATTTTAGTCTGCATGTAACTGCCCATTATTTTATTTATCACTTCTCTCTGCACCTCTTTTTTTAAATGGTAAATTATATAATTATTTCATTCCTAATACCATGTGATAATAATAGAAATAAAGTGCACAATTAATGTTATGTTCTTGAATCATCCCTAAACCATCTCCCCAACCCCTGATCTGTGGGAAAATTGTCTTCCATGAATCTGGTCCCTGATGCCAAAAAGGCTAGGGACTGCTCACTTGGAGGAAACACCTATGGCTTCTCTTGGGCACATTAGAATTGCCAGCATCATCACTCTCACACATTGAGACCAGGACGAATTAAGTAAGGATGACCTGAGCACAAGCAATGCAGTATTGTAATGGTCGATCCGATAACCAAGAGGGCTACTAAGTGACTACTGGGCAGGTAGCATGAACAGTGTGGATGGATGGTGTGAGATTTCATCACACTATTCAGAACAGAGCACCATTTAAACCTCATGAATTGTTTATTTCTGGAATTTTCCTTTTCATATTTCTGTACCCTGGTTGCCTGTGGGTAACTGAAACTGTGGAAAGTGAGACCATGGATAAGGGAGAACTCTGTAAGAGTGTGATAGGTATTTTACAAAATAAAAATGATGGTGAGATCTTGATCAGATATTGTGCTGATGAAACTGTGCCAGTTTATTCTGGTAGAAAATAATGGCTTTGCTCTTCTTAGGATATGAGACTGATCCTAACCCAAGATAGTGGACTTTTAAGAATGTACACGTTCACTTAATGACTCATGGCCAGGCACTATTATGTAACAGTAGAGTCTGGGCTTTGTAGTTAGGCACACGGAATTTGGAAATGTGTTCAATCTTGTGCAGATTCTTCAATGCCCCTGAGATAATGTGACCTTTTATAAAATAGGGAGAAACTATACTCAAAGAGGTCAGATAACTTGGCCACGATTAAATAGCTAATAAGTAGCAAAGCCAGAGTTTAAGCACAAGGTTCTGATTCCAAAGCCTTTATATGTTTCTGTTCATAATATACATTTTGATATACTTTAAAATATGGTTTTATTAATAGAATATTTAAAACTAGTACCACTTGAGCTATTATCTGGCCTAATGCCAACATCGACCATGTTTATTTATAGAATATTCACATGTAGAGTAAAATTCCACCAGCAAACAACAGATTGCTTTATTACTTGTTATCTTTAAAATATTACAATGGCTTATCAAAATATGACCATGATTATTTCTCCACAGGCTGGTACAGAGGATTTGCCTTAAAAAACCCAAATATCAAGGTAAAAATTATTATTTCTAACTATAATTATAGGATTTTTAAAGAAAAATAGTTATTTAAATTATCTCATTATACAATTGAAATTATAGTTGGGACTGTTAGTCGAAATTCCAAATGATAATACAGGTTTTCATACTTTTGGAAATTCCTTTGAACTTGGATTATAGTTAAGATATGCTACTCAAATGATAATCCCATTTAGCTCTTGAACACTCTACTGAGAAGACCTTAATAAGCTCATTATATATAAACAAAATCTTTTTGAAGTGGTAGTTTCTCAAAGAGCTAAATTAAAATTCAGGCAGGGGAAATATATATTCCAAAAGAAATAGTGAGTAGCAGTATTTAATCTTTAAGTTTTTCGTTGTATCATTTGTAAAGTGTTGGTGTGGAGAAGCAAGTTTATTTTAGTGACATGTTGAGTCCCCTTAGGCTTGGGAGCCTATCTTTCTTACCATTTCAGAGAGAAATTAAGATGCAGTATCCTTTATATGTGTATATAAATCCTCAGGAATTATAATTGGAAGTAATATGATTGTTGTTTTATCTTTCATTTGTATAGTTTATGATTTTGACACTAATACTTACTAATATCCATGATTTTCTACCTTATTCAAATCTCCCTAGCTTTCACCCATAGTTTCTACATTCTCTAATATTTTCTTATATGTCGTATTCATTTTTTAAATTTAATTCTAGCTTTATTAGGATTATAGAGGAGAAATCATATCATTTCTCATTCTCAAAATACAGTGTGAGAAATCTAAGCTCTTCTCCTTGTTTGCTTAAATATGGTGTTCCCTGGATCATTCAATTGCACTTAATTATTGTATTTCATATATTTTGCATCATTCTAAAGAGAAGCCTGAGAGACAAAAGGGTATGCAAATTTAGTTTTAGTTTTTTCTCTTTTTTTTGAGGTGGAATCTCACTCTGTCGCCCAGGATGGAGTGCAATGGCACACTCACGGCCACTTCAGCATTGACCTGCTGGGCTTTGAAAATCTTTTCCCCTCAGCCTTCCAAGTAGCCGGAACTACAGGTGTGCTCTACCATGCCTGGCTAATTTTTTTATTTTTATTTTTTTAATTGTAGATACGAAGCCTTGCCAAATTGCCCCAACTGATCTTGAACCCATGGGCTCAGGCAATCCACTCGCCTCAGCCACCCAAAGTGCTGAGATTACAGGCTGAGCCACCGAGTCTGGCCACAAATTTAATTTTTTTTTTAATTAAAAAAAAAATTTTATTTATTGTAGAGACGGTCTCGCCAAATTGCCCAGGCTGGTCTCGAACCCATGGATTCAGGCAATCCACTCATCTTGGCCTCCCAAAGTACTGAGATTACAGGCTGAGCCACTGAGCCCAGCCTCACAAATTTAATTTTTAAAAAATATTTTAGCCCTCACTTAAAGTTGTTTTTAGACTAGGCACGGTGGCTCATGCTTATAATCCCAGCCTTTGGGAGGCTGAGGTGAGAAGATTGCCTGAACCCTCGGGTTCAAGACCAGCCTGGGCAACTTGCAAGACCTCATCTCTACAATAAGTCAAAAAATTAGTAGGATGTGGTGGCGCATTCCTATAGTTTCAGCTACTTGAAAGGCTGAGGCAGAAGGGTCACCTGAGCCCAGCAGGTCAAGGCTACGGTGGCCATGAGCATGCCACTGCACTCCAGCCTGGGTGACAGATTGAGACTCCAATTCAATAGATAGATAGATAGATAGATAGATAGATAGATAGATAGATAGATAGATAGATAGATAAAACTGTTTTTTAAATATCCACAAGGCCCAGGCACATATAGCTTCAGTATTTAATTATTCATTTAGAACATGTTTGAAGAAAAAAATTATTTATAATTTCTGTTATTTCTGTCATTTCTAGCATACCTGAAGTCTGACTTCTTAAAAAAATTAGAATTACTATATTTATTAATCCTAACATGTTGAGGCAAATTTAAATTTTGAAGAAAAAACCAATTTTATAATTTTATGTATACACATTTACTACTGCTAAATTTATAACATTTGCTTATTAAATTTTATTTTGTACTTGATCTACAATGGTGATATGTATTCAAATGGTATTTGTTTTCTTAAATATTTAATTGAGTTTGTTATTTAATTATATACATCAGAAATTCTTCAGAGGATGTTGTCATTTAATGGACGATAAAATTGATGCTCATTGTTGTTATTGTTTGTATCAAGTTCCCACTTAGAAGGAAGGAATAGTTTCCTTGCCCTATCATTTCCATACAATAACAAGCTTCAAGCTAGCATGGCTTCTTTTGTTTAATTTTTGATCTATCAGAATGGCAACATGGTGATTATTTGCTGCTGTGTTCTCATCAAAGATCTTCCATAACACATAATGCTCATATTGTCTCCAGATTCACAGTGGGTTTTTTTAGGGGGGTATATTTTTAAGTAGAAATATGAGCATTTGAGAGAAAAGAAAAGGAACAATCAAAACAAACAAATTTATTTCAACACTATGCGATTCATATTTTAGAAGCTCTTATTTAGTATAACATGGTTTTTCTGCAGAATCCTGAATATTTCTTATTTTTTGCTTTATAAAGAATGTATTTTCTGAGCGATATTTAATTTTTTATTATATTTATTTTAGAAAATCTCTAGATTAAGAGTAGAGAATGAGAGGCTGGATTGAAATCACAATGAATTTCAACCTGTAGAATGTGGTAGAGATGTTGTTTTTCCCAGTTCCTGATGTTGTCATGGTTGTATGACTGTGTTTTAGACATATGACTTGTGAAACCAACCCTGTCTAAACAGACAGCTAACACTATAACCTTCATGTTTTATCTTACAGGGTATATTTCCTTCCAGCTACATTCACTTGAAAAATGCCTGTGTAAAGAACAAAGGGTAAGAAATGAGTTTTATTAATAGTTGGAGAATTTTCCCAGGACCACTGCTTATTTTGAAATTTGAAAGGCATAGTAATTGTCTTGAAAAATGAACTGTGGAAGATCATACCATTGTCTGTATTCTTTGATAAAGATATAGTGCTCTGAGACAGTTGGTGGAGAAAATTAAAGAAACCCATGTGTGTGCTGGACAGCATCAGGATCTAGGTTACTGGAGGTCTCTCGCTGTCCATAAATCATGGAATAGCTAAATCCCAAGCAGAAGGAGTTGGTTCTTTTTGGTTTCCTGCTGTGTGCAGGAGCATGGCAGTCAGACCCATTAAATGCTGAGTCTTGTTGCCTCAAACCCCAGGAATGTCCTAGATTCTCCACTGATTATAAGAAACCAAGTTAGTATTTCTGTAAATGGGCATAATACCTTATTCTTGTGTGACCACTTTACAAAATTGTTCTTCTACTTGAGAGAATATCTTTTAGATGATATTTTGTTTGATTGAGCTCATTGATCACCTAGTCGTTCTTATATATTTTTTAAAATTTTCAGTTTATTTCCAAGAAGATGTGAAGTAGCTATTACTTTCACATCATTCAGGATATTGCAGGATAAATCAGTAAAACTTGCCTACTTAAAGAGTTAACATGAGCAGATCTTTATTAGGGAGCCACAAACATTTGGTGTCAATGTCACATGGACTATTTGCTGAATCATTACATAATTTTCAATTTATGTCAAAAGAATACAGATTCAGCAATAGAAATTATTTTTATCCCAAATAGCAATAAATAGCAATTTATTATTCGAATTCTTAAAGTAGAGTAAATGGTATTGTCAAACTCAGGTTTCACCCAAAAGATTACAAAGATGCTATTCAAATGAATGATTATTATATCTCCCCTCTACAATGGTATGGTATTAAATTTCAGCTCAGTGAAAGAGCCTGTCCAAGTGGCTGAGAGTCTATGGTATCAATACTTTGAGAGTTCTCTACATGGATACAATTTAAAGAATCTAGGAGACCATTATTCTATGTCTTATATATGTCAGCTATTTTAAGCACAGGTAGTAGTTAGCAGTAGCAATTATTTAAAATAGTAGATTAAAAGTATTATTCTAATACTAATAATGACCACTAATGTTTTAAGAAATGTGTGTCTTTCAGAAGTATTGTGTAGCTACAATCCATCAGAATTCAAGTAGGGCTGTCAGTCATTTTGCAGCTTTTCTACTGGGCTAGGTTGGACACCATCCTGGCCCCCTCAAGTAAACCAGAAGACACCTCAGAAAACACTGCAACCACATGCATACTCTTTTGTTCTGATCCTTCTGCCTGGTGATCTGGGATGGGCAATGTGAAAACTCCATGGGTTTTTCCATTCCTTAACGTGTCCACTTGTGCAAGCCCATGCAACCAATCCTCTTTGCCACCTTTACCTCAAACTCAACCTGATCCTCTTCAACTCTGCAGAGCCACGGTCCACCCAGCACTCTTCATACACTCTGAGCAGGGAAGAGAAACAAGAGAATGCTATGCTAGCAAGGATGATGTCAAGCATTGCTCTACTTAGTCAAAGTCCACCCCCAGCTTGAATTGGGATAGGATATAGTTTTAAAATAAGTACCTTCTTTGTCTTTTGTTCTTCTTCTTTGGTTTCTGTTGTATATAGGGTCCCCTCCACTATCCCCAGGGAAGTTTAAATGTGAGTAAAAGTTTCTTAGAATTTGGTTGTGCATGTTTAAGACTTGCACCTGACATCAGGCACAATGGGCATTATATAGCAGGAGAGCTCTGGGGTAGAACCTGGCTTTATTTTCTAAAAAAGAATTACTGGAATTGATTCGGACCCTAGGTTCTGGGACTGTTACTAAAAGAAAAACTGACCTGAAAACCTGTGAAGATGCGTATTGCCAAATGATTGCTTTCCCAGAAAGGAAGCTTTCTGGAATTTTGGTGTTGCCTGCCTTATTTAAAGTGGAATTGCAGCCTGACGACCTTACCAGAACAAAATAGCTAAAAAATCTATCCCAGAATAACTGAACAAAATATAATTTCAGGGCTGACTACTTAGGACACATTATTTTAACACTGATTTTGGTTTTGGAATAATTAATAGGAAACAACCGCCTTGCCTAAAATGGCAATTTTATGCTTAAAAATAGAAATTTTGGTTAGACAACCCCTAAATCAACTTCCCATGGACCAAATTGCCTTTATATTCTTTCCTGGGTCTTTGGAGCAATATAGGACTGATGGAGGTATTTAAATTAAAATATAATATACGATCAGACCACTTCTGTTATTGTTTAGTTCCTGCTGCGGTCATGTCTCTTTTTAAATGTTAAGTGGGATGTCAAGTTTTCCTAGTAATTCAGTGTTCCCTCCTTGACCTTGTATAGGATCATTTTATAATCTCCATCTCCAAATATTCATCATGCAAATTGCAACAGCTGCTTCCAAAGCAAAATAAATATACTACCATCTTAAAATGTCATATGTAGATTAATGAAAGGTTCTGGATCTGTCACAGTTCATATATTACTGTTTACTTTTATTTCTGCTCTAGAAAGAAGGAATATATTCACAGGACAAGATTTATTTATTTATTTATTTATTTATTTATTTATTTATTTATTTATTTATTTATTTTGAGTCTGAGTCTCACTCTGTCACCAGACTGGAGTACAGTGTCAAGCTCACAGACACTGCAGCCTCGACCTGCAGGGCTCAGACAATCCTTCCACCTCAACCTTCCAAGTAGCTGGAACTACAGGTGTGCTACCATGCCTGGCTTATTTTTTATTTATTGTAGAGACGAGATCTCACCAAGTTGCCCAGGTTGATCTTGAACCCCTGAACTCAGTCAATCCTCTTGCCTAGACCTCCCAAAGTGCTGGGATTACAGGTTAGAGCCACCATGCCCAGCACAAGACAAGTATTTTAGCAGCGGAATAAAGTGAGGAGATGAAGCTCTGTTGGGGGAAAATAATCAAGGCAAAATTTCAGTTCTCATGCTTATCTCAAGAAGATTTTACAAAAGACAATTACGCACACTTTGGAAATAACATCAAAAAGGAACTGCAAAGCAGTTGTTAGCCTCATGCTAAGAAGTAATTTTCCCTTGATCATCCAGACAACCTGGTTCTGTGTAATAAATATGCTGTTACCTTCTACGTATTAGATGTTGTCCTTGAGAAAAATATGCTGAAATAAAGAAAATGTCAGTATAGCTGGTACACTCTTTGGAGAAGCAGTGGTAATAGTAGCCACTTAACCACTTTAACCTGCACCAGAAAAAAAATTGAAAAAGAGAAACTGGAGATGATGATGATGATGATTATAGGATACAGAGGTCAAATTAAATTGTCCCTCTTTTTCTTATCTCTTTATATGTTTCTCAACTTCAGAACCACCATACCTATAGTATTAGATATTAGTATGAATATTTTCCAAGTGTAGTTGCTGACTTTTAAAGAAGAAATGAGAGGACTCCATTACCCTAATCAGAGAAAGAAACATTTTGGAATGGATATTCAAATGATGTCTTAGGTCCTTAAATTCTATGCTGCATGATAGCAACATTACTAATCGTGCTAATCATTTTTCGTGGCCCTGTTTGCAAATAATAAGAATGAAGTGTTACTGAGATCGATGTTCAATCAGTATCTCAGTAACACTAGCTACTCGTAACACTGAGTTAGCTTGTATGTTCACAGTCATGCTATTCCTGATGCATGAACAGTGTTTCTTTTGCTTCCTTTGAGTCCTATGGTCATAGCACTTGGAAGGCAAAAGTCACCTCAGGGTTTATGTAGTTCTGTGACCTCATGTTACAGATGAAGGCTTTTGGACTCAGAGAGGTTAAATGAGTTGCCTCGTGGTCAGATAGTCACTGGAGCGGAACTCTTCTGATCTTCTTCCTTCTTCTCCATGCTGCTCAAACTTGATCTGGATGAAGTGACTGGCCTTTTTGTCACTGGCCTGCCATAGCCCACAGAACATTCCTCACACAAGCTTGGAGTGAGGAATCCTGGTTACTGTCTGCAGAACCCACAATAACCAAGCAACTTTCTTTTCTAGTTTATCTTTTAGAATGCTTAAAACAAAATTGCTGTCTGTGGTATTTAAATATATACTTTGTCTTTCTGTTTTAATTTCATAGACAATTTGAAATGATTATTCCCACTGAAGACTCCGTTATCACAGAAATGACATCAACACTAAGAGACTGGGGAGCTATGTGGAAACAACTCTATGTGGTAAGTAAATTTTTATTTTACTCTATGTGGTAAGTAAATTTTTAATGGCTTGATTTCTCAGGTGTTTTAAGAAATATATGACTATGAGTAAGCACTTGCTATAAGCCACTAGGATGTCTCAGGGAATCAGGAATACAGATATATATATATATATATATATATATTTTTTTTTTTTTTTTTGAGTCAGGGTCTCATGCTGTCATCAAGGTTGGAGTTCAGTGGCATAATCATGCTCACTGAAGCCTCAAACTCCTAGGCTCAAGCGAGCTTTCAGCCTCAGCCTCCTGAGTAACTGAGACTACAGGTACACACCACCACACCCAGCTAATTATTTTGATTTTTTTTTTTTTTTTTTTTTGTAGAGACAAGGTGTTGCTATGTTGCCCAGGCTGGTCTCAAACTCCCAGGCTCAAGCAATCTTCCTGCCTTGGCCTGCAGCAATCCTCCCATCTCAGCCTCCAGAATACAGATCTTAACGAGGGACAGTCTTGTTATAATCTCTGTGTCCACTGAGCTTGGGTTTTATAAGTTATTCTTCAATACCACAGCAACATCAAAGTTTATTTTCCTGGCATCTAACCAAATCGGATGGTTTACATAAACCCTAGTGTTGGACATCTTGAATATTTTTAATTTTCAGGGAAAAAGAAACTTATTCACTACAATTTTGGTGGTGGTGGGGGTATTTTATCATCTTCTCGTACTATCAGTAATTCAAGCTTACTGTAAATGACAGACTTCTTAGCCAGTATCAATGAAAATTTTCTAAAAATACTAGAGAAAAGGACATTTGTTGGGAGTAGGAAAAAGATCTATGTTTTGAGGGCATGTGTATATATATTTGTTTACTTATTATAAGTATGTTATTGAGTACCTATGGCAAATACAAGTGCTCTATATGCAGTATCTCCTTTCATTCTTACAACCACTCAAGGAAATAACTACAATCATCTTCAGCTCACAAATGAGAAAATCGAGCACAGGGAGTCAAAGTACTTGTCCTGGACCAAGTAACAGGAAAGGAGCTCATCTGGGATTCTGATGTCAGTTGGGTACTTTCTCTCTGAACCTCACTATATATGAGGGTGAGACCTCCCCAAAATGGAATTATGTTTTGAAGAGTGGGCACCTTGTAGTGCAGGCTTCCACTGCTAGGTAAGTGTTCCATTTGTGTGCCAGCTAGCGTTGTTGGGAGAGGATGTGTTCAGCTTCAGTGAATTTGTTTTGGAGAGTCTTTCAAGGGATTTAACCCAGTTCATGTTAGGTGATGTACAAGCACACTTGCCTATCCCACGCTTAGTGTTCGGCTGTTTTTGACCAAAAATGGCATGACCCCTGTGCCCCAACCTCCCTATTCACCCACTCTCCCCTCAAGCAACCTTTTTTGGTTTCCCCAATGATGAAAAAAGTCCTCACAGGGAAATGTTTTACTGATGTGGAAGAGGTGAAACAGAAAACATCAGAAACACTGAAAGGCATCAAAACTGATGAGTTCAAAAACCATTATGAGCAGTGGGAAAAGCATCTTGATAGGTGTATTGCGTCAAATTTGAAGACAACTAAGGTTTAAACATGTAAGAATAAATACTCATTTTTTCATAAATAAATTCCAGGTTTTTGGGGTCCTCCCTCATATATGGAAGTGTGAGAGTGGTGAAGTGTTGGGAAAGCAATGCTACTTTTTCTTTAATTTTCAAAGAAGTTTATAGAACAGCTTAATCATTTGAAGAGATGTGTTCAAAATACAAAGGTGTACTTATCCTGACAAAACAATTTGAAACAGCATGTCAAAGGGAAAAATCCAAATTAGTGAGGGAGGTTGACACAGAATGATGGTTTTTATTGACTGTTATATCTAAAATGCAATCAGATATTTCATTGAGGCAAGAAAATCTTAGAGTCACTAATGAAAACTCTTTGATTTTGGACCTTCTCAGATTAGACACTCCTAGAATCCGTGGCTTCAGGACTTACAATGATAATTTACAAGGCAGTCTTATATGAATTGCCAGTGTAGGTTTTGTAAATACAAAGTAAGATAACTGACCTTGGCCGAGCATGATGGCTCATGCCTGTAATCCCAGCACTTTGGGAGGCTGAAGTGAGAGGATTGCCTCAGCCCAGGAGTTCAAGACCAGCCTGGGCAACATGATGAGACCTCATCTCTGCAATAAATAAAAAAATTAGGTGATTGTGGTGGTGTGCACCTGTAATCCCAGCTACTTGGAAGGCTCAGGTGGAAGATTGCCTGAGCCCAGCAGGTTGAGGCTGCAGTAACTGTGATAGTGCCACTGCCCTCTAGCCTGGGCAACAGAGTGAGACTCTGACTCAAAAAAAAAAAAAAGATAACTGACCTCAAGGACTCTGTGGTAGGAAAGTGCAAAGGGGATACAGGTCTTTTAAGATTTTTGTTTTAATTTTTGTTGGAAAGAATTAAATCCAAGCATTATTTCACTTCAAGTAACATTGTACATGACACTAACATGGGTAAAGAAACTATTTGAAATGTTCAAACCACTGTATCCTAAATACCTAACATAAGAGAGTTATAAAAATAACTGTTGTCCATTAGTTGAGTATAACACCAACACTTTTCCTTTTTTATAGCTGCTAGTGAGCAACAAAGTTGAATTTCCTCTTGACTCTGCCTTATCTAGCTATTTTTACCTGCTTTTGAGACTGTGAGTATCTATTTTGGAGACAGACTTGGCTGGTTTGAAAATCTATGTGCTGTAAACTCTAGAAGTAACCGTCTCTCTTAGTCTTCTGAGGAAAGAAAGAGAGAGAGAATTGCCTAAATGCTTTCCTGGATACTGAATGGTAGTCATTTATATTAGTAGCAAACATAAAGGTTAGCCCAGAGATGCTAGATTTTTTACATTGGTTACCTTGGCCATGTTACATGCTATGTTTTCTCTTTTTTTGATATAAATCTTTTTTCCAAATGTTTTGGTTTCAGTTCATCATGCTTGAGTGTATCTAGGGTATTGTTCATTCTCTTTTCCAACAGTTTTGGGGGTTTTTTGGGGGGTTTTTTGGGTTTTTTTGAGTTAAAGTCTCAATCTGTCACCTAGGCTGGAATGGTGTAGTGACAGGCTCATGACCACCGCAACCTCGACCTGCCGGGCTCAGGTGATCCTTTTGCCTCACCCTTCCAAGTAACTGGAACTACAGGTGCAAGCTACCATGGCTGGCTTATTTTTTTACTTATTGTGGAGACGAGATCTCACCAAGTTGCCCAGGCTGGTCTCAAACTCCTGAACTCAAGCAATCGTCTCGCCTCGGCCTCCCACTTTTCCAACAGTTTTAAGTTACCTAGCTTCTCCAGTAGAAGATGTTTGAAGGTAATATTTTGCAAATTGTAAGCTGTATATGAGACCACTTAGCATAAAAACATATGATGAATGCTTGAGAAATGTTAGTTGCTCTTTTAAATAGCATTAGTAGAGACCTAAATAATGTTCTTTAAAAATGCCACTTAATAAAATTTTAGTAACATAACCACGAAAAAGTTTAGGAGAAATATAGCAGCAGTCTTTTGCTGAGTACTTTTGTGCAGGCTATGAGATAGATATTTACATCTCTCTTCTTTGGGACTCTGCTGGGTAGGTTTTATTCTTGAATCTTATCAACCATCATTTACCCAGGGTCTCACGCTAAGTGGTAAAGCCTGAGTCTAAATCTAGGTCTGCTGCCACCAAAACCTGTACTCTTTTCTTTTTTCTTTCTTTCTTTCTTTCTTTTTTTTTTTTTTTTGAGTCAGAGTCTCACTCTGTTACCCTAGCTGGAATGCAGTGGCACAATCTCTGTTCACTGAAGCCTCAACCTTCTAGACTTAGGTGATCCTTCCACCTCAGTTTCCTGAGTAGCTAGGACTACAAATGTGCACCACTGTGTCAGCTAATTTTTTTTTTTAATATTTTTTTAGAGACGAGGTCTTGCTATGTTGCCCAGGCTGGTCATAAACTCTTGGGCTCAAGCAATCCACCTGCCTCAAGCTCCTATAGTGCTGGGATTACAGGTGAGAGCCACCATGCCTGGCCTGATTTTATTTTAAGGCAAATAAAACTTACCCATTCTCTGAAACACTAAAATACTCCCAGTTAAGTTTTTGTTCATTTCTGATATATTGCAGAAATTTCTAAATATTGTTTTATTCCAAGAGTTTAATATTGTATTCTACCTTTTTTATTTAGCACTAAATCAAAAGCATTTTTTGTATTTCTTTATAGGTTTCATAACTACCCAGTTTTGAAAGAATTATAATTTTATGACTAAATGTCCACTCAGATAAATACTTTTTTCTTATACTAATGGAGCAGGTTTGCTGGCCAGGCCTGCAGTATTTCGTGTCCCCTCACCTTTTTTTCCCTAAAGGGAGAGCTGACCAGCTGGTTTTCAGTTTTCTGAAGGATTCTGCTTCCTTCTTATTTTAGTGTTCTCTTAATCTTAAGTACCAGACATGACTGCATAGAAAATCAAATCAATTCTACTAAACAACTGCAGAATGCCCTCCCCAAGAGCAAGCACATGACTTTCTCACTGTGACAGTCAGTTCAAGAGAGTGCTGACCATCTCTTATGCTGTATGAGATAGGACTTGTTTTATAATTTCCTTATGTAATTTTTTAGACTTGAGTGGACATTTTCCTTTCTATCACTTCCTCATGTCTTTCTGGATCTTTCTCCTGCTTACTCTTTTGTATGACCTAAACAGAACCTACTTCTGAGATCCACACACACAAAAAAAACACCTTTAAATCAAACCATTCATTCATTCTCCAGCTGCTAGGGTTACACAAGGCAGACAGCCATTGTGGTCGGCTGCTTAATATCCATTGTGGCTGGTCGCTTATAGCACTGAGCAGTTAATTACAAGAGTATTGTGTTCCAGTTCCCTTGTAGTGACTTGTATGGGACTGTATATCATGAGTATGGGAGAAAAGCAGTAGAAGAATAGGTTCAATAGAGTGCTGTAGGGGTTGAGAGAAAAGCACGATTATTTATATTGAGAAGATCAGGGATGGCATCCTGGAGAATGCTTTCTGTTCCTCTGGCAAATTGTTTGACCTGCACAGTACGTGAAAACGGTTTAAGACACTAAGTACTGAAAAAGCAGATAACACGTCACTACTTTTTAAAATTAAAAAAAATGTGTTATGACTGAAAGTCTTTACCCATCACACAGAACTTGATCTTTCTGGCAGTTTATAGTTGTAGTGGACTGGAGATGGATAGAAGCCTCAATACTTCCCTATCACTATTCATGTAGTCCACTAATAATTTTTGGAGAAAGTGAAAGCATAACTTCTGGTTAAGAAAGATGAAGGGTACACTCTTATATAAGTTTTACTCTAATGTCTCCAGGGAAAGATATATATTTTGGTTTGGACAAAGAAATAGTAATTGGAAAGAGCTCATTTTGGACAGGCCCAAAACAAGTACTAGGAAGAGCTAATACTTACATGAGCTTTATTCTAGGCCATGAATTGTTCTCAGAGTTTTAATAACTCATTAATCCTCAGAATAACCCCAAGAGGTAGGTACTGTGATAACCGTTTTACAGATGAGAAAACAAGCACAAAGAGGTTAATAAACTGCCAAAGTCAGCAAATGGCAAAACTGGAATTCAGAGTTAAGTCGTTTGGCTCTAAGTCTGCTCTCTCCATAGTGCTCTCATTATCACTAATCTGCAAAAATGGCTTTGTGGGAAGATAGTACTGCCCATTGACAGATGACAGAACTCTTATTCAAAGTCTATAAAACTTGGTGACAACACTAGGATTGGAAGCCAGGGTTGTTACTTGTCGTCTTTCTGCTAAGCCACATAGCTTAATGAATTTCACAGGAGATTTCCTTGACTTTCCATGTTTGTTTTAAAAGTAAAAAAAAAAAAAAAAAAAAAGCATCATGTTTTTATTTAAGGTCTAAATACTGACTAGTTAAGAGCATTGCACAGACATCATCGAAAGGGTTTGTGTGCCCAACTTCTGATTGCAGAATCCAATAAAGCATTAAGACTCACATGCAAGCAATAATTGGAAAACAATGTTTTCCGTTTCACCAGTTTTAGCTGCATGCAGTCCTGGTTCAGAGAAGGGAGGAAAGAATGTGAGCAAGAGTTGTCAGGGAGTTTTCCTAATGGAGGTAAGAGTTGGGCCAAGCCTTGTAGGAGAATTTATAGCTTAAAGAAAGGAACACTCGAAGTAGATAGGGAGGCAGCATGCAAAAAGGATGGAGACTGCACCAAGCTCCAGTTGTGAAGGTGTAGCCAGAAACAAGAGCACAGTGTGGATGTTGAGGAGTCTGGGAAGTGATGAAGTGGCAATCTTGGACAGGAGAGTAGCATTGTGAAACTTGGATGGATAGAAATGTATAGAGAGGGCAGTGGGTGTGTTTGAGGACAGTGAGGGAAGAATTTATCTATTAAAGGAGAATATAGGTTGGCACAGTGGCTCACACCTGTAATCCCAACACGTTGGGAGGCGAAGTTGGGAGGATTACTTGAAGCCAAGAGTTTGAGATCCCGTCTCTACTAAAAATTTTAAAAAATTAGCCGAGCAAGGAGGCACTCACTGTGGTCCCAGCTACTTGGGAGGCTGAGGCGGAAGCATCACCTGAGCCCAGGAAGTCCAGGCTGCGGTGAGCCAGAAGTATGCCACTGCACTCCAGCCTGGACAACAGAGTGAGACCCCGACCCAATAAACAAATACACAGATAAATAAATAAAAATCTGTCTGCAGATACAGATACAGATGGAGGGCAACCAGGAGGTGCCTCCTTCCCTTTCTTCTTCCGTTACCCCACAACTCAGTATGGAGACTGACTGCCAGATCTTTACGTTTGCATATTTCGTAGAGAAATGAAGGTGATCTCTTCCACCGGCTGTGGCACATCATGAATGAAATCCTGGACCTGCGGCGGCAAGTGCTGGTGGGCCACCTCACCCACGACAGGATGAAGGACGTGAAGCGCCACATCACTGCCCGCCTCGACTGGGGCAATGAGTAAGTACCTACCATCGCAGGGCAGCAAAGGAAGTGACACAGGCATGAGTCAGGACGTGGTAATATCACTCGGAAGCAGTCCTGTGGATTTTTCCAGTCTTCCCCCAATGGAGGCACAGTGTGAACTGTCGCTGATAGAGTCGGGACCCCTTCCTCTCTGCCGGGTGTGGGAGCTGAGATGTTGTTAGTTCTCTAGTGCCCAGTGTGGTCTTATGGTGTGAAATGTTCACAGGGATTAATTAGCTATGGCTTCTGGCTAAAATGGATCTTATTTTCAGATGGGCTTTAGCGTTGACATTGTATTTGCTTTTAAAATATACCTCTTCCATATCGTGGTAATAGATCACCAGTGTAATCCAGAGGGAAACACTAATGTTAACAGCTTCTGTTAAAAAGTCTTATGACAAGTGCACTGGTGGGACCTTTTATTATTGCTAGGATCAGTCCTGTGCATACACATTAGCCACTTTGAGGAGCTGTTTGGGAGAATTCAGTAAAAAGCTGTTCTTGACTGAGATTTACTTTTAAATAAAACTGTAAATGACTAATTTAAAGTATGAGCCAGGCACTTAAATAGTAAATCTAATCACTGAAATCTCTGACCAAGGCTGATATTGTGCTAAGTAGAAATACTAATATAGGAGTAAGAAGTTAGAATAAGCCAACTTTGACTGGCATCCTAGGGTTGCATAAGGCTTCAGTTTAAGGCAATGAAGTGGTTCCTTAGTATCCTACATGACTATTTTGTCTCTTCCTTTCTTCTTCCCAAATCTCCCTGTGTTTTGGAACTTCAAAGGATATTGGGGCAAGAGAAAATAAATAAATAAATGAATAACTAGACCGAAGAAGAGAAAATGGTAGGAAGTGAGCCAGGGTTAAAGTTGCCTCTTACTGAATCTGGAAAAACTGATTTAAAACCAGAATGCTGCTTCCTCTAACCCTTACAGTCACTGTCAGAAGGCGGGTTTGATTCCTGCAAGGCATTGCATACATTCTACAGTTATGAATACATGGAGCAGTTAACAGATTTTACGCCTTCATCTCACCCAGAGTACTTCTGGTATTTTGTTGAACACGATGTACCATTTATCTCTTTACAGGCAATGAATAGGATAGACCAATGTCTTTACCTGTTAGAAATAAAACAGGTGCAGGTGTGGTAGCAAGAGCTTGGACTGGGAGCTCTTCTTTAAGACACGAAACAAATTCATGAAATCTTCTTGATATCAGTTCCTCATCTGCAGAAGGACTAGAGAAGGTTCCAGGGCCCCCTCAGCTCCACGATGACATATTTAAAAGTGATCTATCACAGAAACAAAGAACAGAGTACCATATGTTCTCACTCATAAGCGGACCTTGAACAATTATAATACTATAAGAAAGCATTTGGCAGTAATGGGAAACTGTCAGGGGAGGGGGGATGGGATTGGCAGTTGAGGGAAACTGCTAGGGGAGGGAGGGGCATACCTCATCAACAAGGGTACCTGCATAATCAACGTTTGTATACCTAACCCTGAATTTTACCCCACATCTTTATAATAAAAAATATATATATATACACACAGCACCTCCTGGTAGATCAGGCTAGCAAACCATTTGCACTGAGTTTGCAGTCCAGCTGTGTAAGCTGGGGTGAGACCAAGAAGAGTAGCTTTCAAGGCTGTTGGTGACTGGCCTGTGCTGCCTGCCTTTCGCATATTTCTTTATCATTTTGAAAAACCTTCGAAGTTTCTCTGAATTATTGACTGTTAGTCATTATGCTGGTCTTCATTTAAAGGACTAGTTTGGCAGCCATAAAAAAGAATGAAATCATGTCCTTTGCAGCAATATGGACAGAACTGGAGATCATCACCCTAGGTGTACTGACTCAGAAACAGAAAACCAAACTCCACCCATTCTCACTCATATGCAGGAGCTAAATGATCACAAAGATGGAAATAATAGGTACTAGGGACACCAATAAGAGGGGAGGGGAGAGGGGTATTAGGATTCAGAAATTACCTATGGGGTACAGTGTTCACTGTCTGGGGAATAGGCCACCTGAGACATAATCCCTACCACTAAGCAGTGTGTCTGTATGTAACGAACACACACGTACCTTATGAATCTAAAATAAAGATGAAAGATAAATGACTAATTTGTAAACAGGAAGAACATTGGACGAAGGTGGCTTATCAAAACTAACTTAGGAATGTAGAGCAGGCGAGAAAATGATATTTTTTTTTCCATTTTATGAAGGAAGATAATGGCTGAATGAAAAGGGACAGGAAGGAAAAACATTAATTATGACTGAATCAGGACTCAGTTTTTGACTGATGCAAGTTTGAAATTGTACTTCAGGCAGTTCTGTGGCTAATTTATGATAAGTTGGTAAAACATTGATGCATGAAGATGAGCAGTATAATTTATTTAGATCATCCGCAACTTCATGAATTTTCCGAGCTCTCTGTTTTCTTTGAATTTCTTTGACCGCTTATTCAAAAACAACTTACAGCCTAGAGTGTATGCATTTACCTTATTCTTTCAAGTATAAATTTGTTTTCATGTTGAATAGTGCTCAATGGAGAGCAGATTAAGATAATTATCTTCCCTGTTAAATAAGATCAAATTGCCCTGCAAAATTATCTGTCAGCACGTAACTCTCTAGATGAACATAATTTAAGAATGTGTTGGTCAGGTGTGGTGGCTCAAGCCTGTAATCCCAGCACTTTGGGAGACCTAGGTGAGGGGATTGCCTGAGCCCACGGATACGAGAACAACCTGGGCAATTTGGAGAGACCTCATCTCTACAATAAATTAAAAAAATTTAGCTGGGTGTGGTAGCACACGCCTGTAGTTTTGGTTACTTGGAAGCCTGAGACAGAAGGATCGCCTGAGCCCAGTGGGTCAATGCTGGGGTGCCCCTGAGCATGACATTGCACTCAGCCGGGGCAACAGGGTGAGACTCCAACTTAAAAAAAAAAAAAGCATGTGTTTCACCTCAAGCTGTGTATCAAACTGTTGAAGAGCAATGAAGAGAAGCCCTCTGCGTGTGAGAGGCAGAGCTGATCCATGTTGTTCCCTAATGGAGCCAGCAAAAGTGCTGTTCTCACCTGCAAGCCTCAGACAGCATAAAAATAATGGTCCACATTTCTGTTGCCCACAGAATCCTATGATGACCTTTGACTTTCCTGCTAAGATGATACAGGAGGTAGAATCAATTCATCCTTTCTTCCTGATGTCACAGAGTAATTTAGTGACTGAGTTCATATAAAACTTGACCTTCTCCCCTAGTCCAACCCCTGCCTTCCCAGATCCTGCAAGATCTCGCCTCACTCAGCTTGTCTCTCCCCAACTTGCTTCATTTCTCCTTAGTCTTTGTAAAGCACTGCCCTGATTCTGTTCTCTGAGCTATGGAGTCTCTCACAGAGGGAGGTTTATCATAATGATGTATCTAAACCAAATAGAAACAAATAAGACTTTCTTCAAGCAGTCTGGGCTCCCAGAAGCCAGCAGAAGTTAAACAATCAAGCCAATGGGAGAAAGTGACTTGCTAATCGCAGGTTTTGGTGGAGGAGGGGCAGGTCCCAGAAACCCTGCAGTTGGAGTTGATCTTTACTGACTCGTTCTGCAATGATGCCCCTTCACATAGCTTGTCTTCTTCATGCCAAAATGGCTGATATCTGAATTTCCAAGTTCAAATTCTCAAGGAAGGGTGCTTATTGACAGACAATATCCATTGCTCCTCTTTAGACTGAGTGTTTTATACCAGCCTCTCTAGCTGCTGGCCAGTTCATTGGTTATTTGACCTTAGGTCAGGTACTTATCCATGGGCCAGTCAGGTATGGCTTGGGAACGGAGGAGGATCAGATGACTGTCCCCATCTGCTCCTGCCTCTCCCAGCAGAGAATGTGGGTAGAGCAACTTCTTGTTGAAAGTAAGGATTCATACGTGTTTTTATATCCTTTTTCCTTTGCTAAATGATCTTTTCATCATTAATATTGACCTAGTGTCAAATGATGTCTTACATTGTAGTGCAGTGGTTCTCTTGGGGAGGCGATGGAGGATGGAGAACAGACCCTATCAGAATCCCTGGTGAGATGCAGCAGTGGAGGGGAGGGGTGTTTTGAAAACAAATCACAGTGCTTGTTGTGATTTGGAAATTCTACTAAAATTAAAGAATGGGTGTGTGACTTTTTTTTAGTTTCTCAAAGAGAAACATCGTTTAGGAAAACTGAGAAACTGTTTTAGTATCTGAAAGACAGCTCCTGCTGTCAAGAAGGTGACAGTTTTCTCATCTTCTTAAGAACAAATATCCCTCAGGGTGGTGGGGGCAGTGCCTGGCTTGAAGTAGGTGCCAAATTAATACATTTTACTCAGGAAACCTTAATGGGTTTTTTGGGGAGGGCATGGAAGAATTCCAGATTTTTTCTTTATTCAAAAGTAAGAAAACTGTGATTCAGTAATTGGAAGTACAATGCCAGAAGCCTTCCATGTTAGAGTGATGATGTGAAAGGGATGCAGAACCAGTAATCCTCAGAGAGCTAAGCATGAGACCTAGAGTGTGCTTAGTGAAGGGAGTCTGCTAGAGAAAGGGTATCTTGACCTTGACCCATAAGGCATTACAAAGGCATTGTGAAGCCTGGAATGGTTAAGGAGATGAACAAAATCATGTGACATTGGTATCAGCATTGTACAGTGGGTGCTCTGGAAGGGAGTATATTACCAAGGTCACTGGAGGGAAACTGACCAGAACAGAGTTAGACTCACTTTTCCCTGCCCATGGTAAGACCTCACAAATCAATTACCACACTTGGTCCCTCTGAGGCTGGATATAATACTCAGCACAGCAAGCCACATGTTAGCCACAATGAAATCTGACATAAGGGGTTACACTATTATGCCAGCACAGGCCTAAAACTGTGCTACTCCCATTTCTGTTCCCTGTCTTTACTAAGTTTCTTCTAATGACTGACCTTGAACTTGCCATGAATGAGGACCTTGCTCAAGTTGCCGGAGATTCATATTGGAAACATGTTATCTCTTGGCTTAGCTAGGTATTTTGGTGCTAGGTCACATCCTGGAGGCCAAACTTCTCTCTCCTCAACTCTGATTTCCAGAACCAAAATATGTCTAGCTCCAGTTTCCATTCTACGTCAGTGTAGAAGGCCCTCTCTGGTGATAGCTTGTAAGGTGCTGAAGGATCCACACCAGGTAGTGTCAAGGACCCTGATGGCGGGAAAACTCCCCAAAGAGTGCCAACCCATCCTTCCTGGATTTGCCTACCTTTGTCATCTTTTGTTTCTCAAGCTATGCCCGGTGCCCAACCTAGTTACTTTGTCTACCCCAATAGTGATAATAAGTCATACAAGGTAGAAAATATGAATGGGAGAAGCATGGTGAGTGATAGACCTAATTTCAAGGTAGTGCTGAAACTAATTATTTTTAGTAACTTTCATGGATCTGACTTGTTCTCCAAACTTTTGCAATTTGTTTTCTAGACAACTAGGACTGGACCTGGTGCCTCGGAAGGAGTATGCAATGGTGGATCCCGAGGACATCAGCATTACTGAGCTCTACCGATTGGTAGGTACAGGAAACCTTGGCTCACAGCCTCACTGCTTATTTTATGGTTTCCATGGCAGTCTTCATACTTGCTTGATTTTGTAAGAACAAGATGTTCCAGGCTTAATTTGGAGCGAGTAAAGAGAATTGAGAGCTGAGGTGACCATGCCCCAAGTGCGGTACTGAGACACTAAGAATGATGTGTTGCTGTCCAGTGGGCCCTCCACTCCCAGGCATGAGGAAGCAAATGCAAAGATGTTTTCCATTCTTTTGCAGATCTTTGTACTTTGTACCTTGTCTGGTGAAGTGCTAACAGATTACACATACACAACAGATAAATATGTGCGACCTGTTAGCTCTTCTCCAGATAAGTACGTGTGACCTGTTGTGGCAGGTAACCATATCTAGTCAGTCACCAGTGTGTTAGCACTCCACCTGTCACCTTTACCACTATATACAATAACCATTGGAAGTGTCTCCTGGCCTTTAGCTGCTAGTCTTATACCTCCCTTCCCCCTAAGACCCCAGTCCACTCTAAAGTGCTGAATCCCACTAATAATCCTAAAATATTTGCTCATATTTATTGCCCATGATAGTATCACCTATGACTTGAGTTTTTTCTAGTTACATGGTAGGCTAAAGTCCAGTTTTTTGTTTGTTTGTTTTTGTCTTTTGCTTGGCATCCCCAAATCTCGTCAATCTGCCTTGTATTTAGCCTTGTATTCTCAAATACTTCTATGAAGAAGGTGGTTGGAGAGGGCTTTAAAGGCCATTACTCTAAATGTAATTTTACTTGATCTCATTACTGTAATTTTATTTGATTTCATTACTACCGCTTCTTACCATAATGTTCCTAGGAGGAGTGCCTATTGGAAATAGTAGGCCCATTTTTGGAAGGTCCTGCCTCTTCTGGGCCTACTGTAAACTTCTTTCCATGCTTATAGTATTTTTCTGAGAATACCAGGATATTCTTAACCTGAAGATTATTCATATCTGAAAAATGTGGAGGGAAATTTCAGTAAATCCATTGGGGCGTGTGTCTGATTTGAGAAGACAGTACTTAGTATCACTTTAAGATTTTTCCTTAATCATCAGATTATCTGCACTTCATTGTGTCCATTGGAATAAATTTTGTTTTTGTAGAGGATTTTTTTTTAAGTCAGATTTTCATTCTGTCACCTAGGCTGAAGTGCAGTGGCATGCTCAGGGCCACCACAGCTTTGAAGTGCTGGGTTCAGGTGATCCTTTCTCCTTAACCTTCCAAGTAGCTGGAACCACATCTGGCTATTTTTTTAAATTGATTTATTGTAAAGACGAGGTCTTGCTAAGTTGCCCAGGCTGGTCTCAAATCCCTGTACTCAGACAATCCTTTCACCTCTGCCTCTCAAAAGTTCTGGTATTACAGGAGTGAGACATCACACCCAACTGTAGAGGATTTCTTTTTCTGTCTGTGGAATTTCTTGTGAGTGATGTTGTGTGGTGCATGCTGTCGTGATACCTGTGCTAAGCAAAGGATCTAGCATGTAGCAAGAACACAGAAGTCAGTCAGAGGGAGGCAAGAAGGACCAAATAAGAGTATTCCAAGTGGAAGTCATCACTACTTCTTAGCTTAGTCAGTCACATCCTCTAATGTAATGTCTCTATTGTTCATTTATTTAACTCATTTAGCATCATTTTTTCTCTTATTTTAAAAAGAATCTCACACTCAACTTTAAGCTGCTTTAGAGTGTATACTGTATCTTCTGCTACCTATTCAATGTTTTTGAAGATTTTGAAAAGAACATGGAAGTTTGGCTCCAGGCAACTACATTTACAATCCATCTCTTCCTTTTACCACTCTGTGGTCTTGCTGCATGCTAGATCCTCAGTTTTTTTTTGTCTACTAGATGGGGAAATAATTTTTTCCATGTTTGTTATGATTAATTAAGAAATAAACATAAGATGCTTTTCCTTGACAGATAATATTAATAAAACATGTAAGTATTTAGTTGATTTTCATTCCTTTCTCATCTTTATTTTCAGCTGCATGAGAGAGGCAACATAGAAGAAAATAATTGATACTCCATATGCCAGAATTAGATTTGGCTGCATCATGAAATAAATAAACAATAGAAGCTTAGACATGATAAAAATTTATTTCTTAAAGTATGAAAGTTTAGAAGCCAGGATTTCTGGGTTTGTGGCTTTGTGGTGTAAAAAGGGATACAGACCTTTATCTTTTTGGTATACAGTAGCACCACCATCAAGAACACCTCAATGTGCAATATAACTGCAAGAGTTCTAGCCATCACACATGCACTCCAGGCAGTGGGAAGGATATAGACTCTTCTCCATTGATTTAACTACTTTAATGAGCCTTCCTGGAAGTTCCATAGTCATACCCCCATATTAAGCTGGGAATGTCAAATATTGGATAAAACTAATGCCTAACACAAATATATTTGATTTACTCTCATTCAATTTCTGTGTGTATGCAATATTGTTCCCATTCTTTTCAGTTAACATTACATGTGGGGTGGCAAATTGATTTTTACCTCTTTCAACATTCTAGTTTATTGGTGGTGGCTTCCTGGAGTAGTGTAGATAAGATACTGGGGTCTCATCTAGGCTCTGATTGATTAACAATGTCTGCCATTGGTAGGAAAGACATCAGGGGGTATTTTAGTATTTTACAACCTAGATCCTAGTCCAAAGTCTTCATTTTACAGATGCGGAAAATAATGCATTATAATTTTACATGAAAACTTAATTTCCTCAGGGGTGGTTGCATATTACTGTTTTAAAGCAAAGACAGGAGCCCAAGAAAAACTCAAATAATTATAAGCTTCAGAAGAACATGTTTTCTTTTCTTCTCTTTTCATTTCTTTTCTTTCTTTCCTTTTTTTAAAGCAGGATTTATTGAGAGGACAGAAAAGCTCCCACAGTGGGAGGGAACCCTAAGGGTTTTCTTGGGCAGCTTCTTTTTCAAGTTCTTGTTTGTACCCTGGCCTAATGATATTCAGATTCCCTGTAGCCCTGGTCTTTTACTCTGTGTACCATAAAAGTGACTGATCACATTGAATTCACCAGGGGGAGTTGGGAGGCACCATCACCAGTCCCTTGTTGTTGTTGTTCTTTGGCGATTTATTGTCCCATATGGATCAAAGACCATGGCATGGAAGTAAAATGCCCTGACAGAGAGGATGTTTAATTGTTGCTGCTTCTCTTATCTTCTTTCCTGCCAGTGTCATGTTTGATATACAAATGTTTGCATCTTACTAAATTTATATTAAATCATTAGATAAAAAGTCTTACTCTAGGTGTTTCGAGAGCCCTGTTAGCAGATCTTCCTCACCTAATTATGTTCGTCTAAGCAGTAAAAGTGCTAAATCTCATAGTGTTAACATATGTCCACTTAGAAATTTTGGTTTAGTGCCAAAGGCAAGATTTCAGTCCTTTTATACATAAAAAGAACCTCATTAGCTGGATTATCTGGTTATGTGTGCTTGCGGAGTATCTTGTTAGGAACCTTCTGTGGTTTTATAAATCATGTTGTCTGCTTGCTTTGCAATCCTTAGTGTGTTAGACCAGTGGTTCTTCAATGGAAAACAGTGGTTCTCAGAGGCAGTTTTACCTTCCACGGGACAGTTGGCATTGTAAAGACATTTTTGGTTTTCATAACAGAAGGTGAGAGGAAGAGGTGCTACTGGCATCTACTGGATAAAAGCCAGTAAAAGCTGCTCAGCATTTTGCAAATGCTTACAACAAAGGACATATTCAGCCTTATTGTCAATAGCACTGAGGTCGAAAAACCCTAGTGTAGACAATTCATCCAAAATAATTAATACATTATCTGAGGATTAACATTTGAGTCAATTAAATAAATCTTTGGGATGAATCTGTGTCTTCTCCTAACCAAAGATCTCGTTCAACTGTAAGCACATTTAGAGTAACTGGCCGATTCCCTTGTAACCATAAATTATGTCCAGATGGATTTTTGCTTTTGTCTTAGAACAACAAAACTATAGTTCTTGAAGTGTAAATGGGCCTTTAAAAATTTTTGTTATTGCAATCGTATTTTCACAGAGATATTTTTAGTAGTTCCCCAAAGTAGTGAATTATCAAGAGATTAGCAAGTGATAATTAACCTGCTTTAGTCCAAATCCATCCTAGACCAGGAAGAATGGTGGGGGGGGGGGGGGTGGAGCATTCAATGCCAGAGTGCTCCAGATGTGAGGGCCCATGCCACATGTGGGAAGGGTAGAATCAGGCAGGCTTGTTAGTAGGATGCATGCAAAGACCCAAGGTTCCAAAGGATACTTACTCAGAGATGGCAACAATACATGTTTCAGTTTGCTGTGATTTACATGTCTCTGCACATCATCCCCATCAGTGATTCTCAGCCTTCATTGCCCATTATAACCACCTGGGGAGCTTTTAAAACTACCAGTCTCTGGGCCCCCATCCCCTAGAAATTCTAATTTAATTGTTCTGGGATAAGAACTGGGCATAAGTATTTTTTTAAAAAGCTCTCCTGAGGACTCTAAAGTGCAGCCAGGGTTGAGAGCCACTGATCTAGATTTATTGGATTCTTTGCATGAATAAGGGAGCTGAGGTTTTCCCTCAGTTTTTTGTGAATGTCATGACTGATGCCAGGAACTTTGCACAATTTTAGGTCAAGAGCAGATACCTCTTTAAGGTCCATTCTTTTCATGAGGTTTTTATGTCTATTTTTGCAACTCTTGCCATTAGGTGTCATTCATTTCTTCATAGTAGCCTGTGCTGTGTTACTCTTTTGAGTAAATCAATAAACATCTTAGCAATACAGGGGGGAGTCTCCTTTGTTAGTTAGAGATATAGTTTTCTAAAGTATGCTACTGATTTTTCCATGGTAAAAATAATTTTAAGTGCATAAAATAGAGCAAGCTTCATTTTTTAAAAAAGGCAAAATTACTCTTTTTTTCCTCTGTCTACAGACTCTTTTACTCCAGGCACTTTTTCCATTCCTTTTTCTTTTTTTTTTTCTTTTTGAGTCAGAGTCTCACTCTGTCACCCAGGCTGGAGTGCAGTGGCACACTGCTCACAGCCATTGCAGTCTTGACCTGCAGGACTCAGGGGATCCTTCCACCTCAGCCTTCCAGGTAGCTGGAACCAGAGGTATGCACCACCACACCTGGCTAATTTTTTTATTTATTGTGATGACAAGGTCTTGCTATGTTGCTCAGACTGGTCTCGAACCCCTGAACTCAGACAGTCCTCTCACCTCCACTTCCCAAAGTGCTGGGATTACAGGCTTGAGCCACCATGCCCAGCCCAGGCACTTTTTTCTAGTAATTATGGCCAACACATACCACAATGCTGAGGTCTACTTTTAAAAACAATGTACTTAACTCTCCACTTTTACAGAGAAGTACCCAGTGTACCTGTTTAGTATACAGTGATTACAAATTTAGTTAATTGCAGCTTTTTTTGCCTTTTACTTTTCAAGTTGTTCAAAGTAAAAGTTAAAAGCATGAAAAAAACTCTGGTAATTTCATACTGTTTTGTTTACAACCGTAAATTTGGGTGGCATTTTGGCTTGGAAAGTTGGTCAGTAATTCAGTCGTTATTGAACTTTAATTGGAGGCTCTAAAAGATGGCTAAGTCGAAATGGCTATGAACCTTAACCCTCAACAAAGGCTATGGCTTCATCATGGAGTTAAAATCCCTGAATAGCCGGGCTCGGTGGCTCAGCCTGTAATCCTGCGCCTTTGGGAGGCTGAGGTGAGTGGACTGCCTGAACCCGTGAGTTTGAGACCCACCTGGGCAACTTGGTGAGACCTCCTCTCTACAATAAATTAAAAAACTAGCCGGGCATGGTAGCGCGCGCCTATAGTTCAGCTACTCGGAAGGCTGAGGTGGAAGGATCGCTGGAGCCCAGCAGGTCGAGGCTGTGGTGGCCGGGAGCGGCCACTGCACTCCAGTCTGGGTGACAGAGTGAGACTCCAACTCAAAAAAAAAAAAAATGCCTGAATAATTTTTTTTAATTGTCAAGTGATCCAGAAGAGTTGGCTTCCTTAGTCATCTGTGTTAGGAAAGTGATAGTCTTCCACATTCTTAGCGCCTGTTCTGTTACTACACAGGCCTTTCCATGTGTTTTTTCCTGTGTTCTTATTCTGATTCGGTGCTACTGAAAGTACAGTCCAAGAACTGACTGGATCATGAACAACTGGTAGCTGGTCCAAGTATAACAATGGCTAGTAGATGAATAGAAATCTTTATAACATTTTGATATTGCTGTGACATTTTTATTGTATTTTATGACAGAATCAGTCTGCCCCCCTCCCCTCCCTTGGGGAGGTGAATCTTCTCTCTCTCTCTCATTTGCTCTTTAAATAAACTATCTTTTTCAGTCAAAAGAAAAAGAAAGAGAGAAAGAAAGAAAGAAAGAAAGAAAGAAAGAAAGAAAGAAAGAAAGAAAGAAAGAAAGAAAGAAAGAAAGAAAAGAAAGAATCAGTCTCCAGTGGATTAGGGAGGGAAACAACCTGCTCTCTCACTGCAAGCTGTTGGAGGAACCCTGTCCTACATAGAGAATCCCTACAGCTCTCAGCTAACTTGTCACTTTCCCAGGAGGTCTTCCTTGACTGCCCAGACTCAAGTCAAATCTCCTTTCTCTTTTTTATCTTTTTTCTTTTTTAATTTTATAGTTGTAAGGTACAAGTGAGGATTTACTACATAAGTAAGTTGCATGCAGGTGATTTTGGGGCTTCAAGTGGCCCTCTTCCCCTGATAGTGGACCAGGTACCCTGTATGTTGCCACATGCTTCCCCCCCACCACAGCAGTGTCCAGGATCTGCCAATCCTCCCTTTGTGCTTGTGTGACCTGTGATCAGGGCCTATTGATTAGTGAGAACATGAGATACTCAGTTCTTTGTTTATCCAAGTGATTGTTCACTTGGTATGATGGCCTCCAGCTGCATCCATTTTGCTGTGAAGGCCATGATTTTGTTCTTCTTTATGACTGCATAATATTCCATCATGTATGTGTATCACATTTTCTTTATCCAGTCTTTGTTCGATGGGCATCTGGGTTGGTTCCATGTTTTTGATATTGTGAAAAGTGCTGGAATAAATATGTGTATGCAGGTTCCTTTTCTGTAGAGTGATTTATGTTCCTCTGGGTATATTCCCAGAAGAGAAATTCCCCCCTTCTCTACTCTCATCATAATCTGGATCCTTGCTTCCATTCATAACAATGACAGTTTTATGTGCATGACAGTTCTGTGCATGTCTGCTCTTCCTAGTAGAAATTAGCTCCATGGAGACATGAACTATTTCTGTTTTTACTCTTCATTGCATTTCCAGTGCTTGGCACATAGTAGTTACTTAATAAACACATGCTGAGTGAATGATCATTACCATGTTTTCCTCCCCACTGGATTCATGAATGATTTTTTTTCTCCCTCAACCCATGGGAACTCTCACTTCTGGTCTTGCCACTCAAGTGGAGCCTCAACTGGTTGTACTGAGGACAGGAGGAGAAGCGGACATAGATTCTATTCCTGCCTTTAGAACCTTGCTGACTTTTCGAAGTCCATCTCCTTGTAGCTCCACAAGTTGGAAACACTTTCTGGCTTCAGTGGTAGAATATTATTTGCTACAGCTTGTCTCAGACAACTGACACAGTTTTACAATTTAATATAATCTAAAATAACTTTTAATTATGAGAACTGAGAAGTTATAACTTAGATATAGTTCAGTCTGTTTTTTTAAAGTTGTCTGTACATTTTTTTTAAAGATGACTAATAATTTGTTCTCATCTTGGGAGTTGATAAAGGAACAACAGAATCCTTTGAACGTCCTGCTTCTATTCAGTGACTTGTTTTAACATTAATGATTTTAAATTCTTAAAGCAAGATTCTGTGATGATCTCTAAACTTCATAGTTTCTTATTTTAGAAGTAGGAAGAAAATTTGGAATTTAACATCCAATTAGATACTGAATTCACAGTGAAAAAAATCATAATAGGACATCATAGTTAAACCGTAGCTAACAAGTTGTTGGGTCCCCTTATTTTCTTCAGCCCTGCTGATCATGTTCTTGTTGGGGGGGTGTGTCATTCAGATGGAACATAGACATCGGAAGAAAGACACCCCTGTGCAAGCCAGCAGTCACCACCTCTTTGTCCAGATGAAGAGCCTCATGTGTTCCAACCTGGGAGAGGAGCTGGAGGTCATCTTCTCACTCTTTGACAGTAAAGAAAACCGACCAATCAGGTAACCACATGTAGAAATGGAATTTGAACCTCTTAATGTTAGAGTGGAGGCTATTCGTGATGAGCAACCTGTAAGCTATATGATCTTGTATACTTTTGACTTTGACACGTTAACTTTCTCACCTGTAGAACTCTGTAGGTTTCTAAGCTGCCTGTCCTCTGAATGTTTCTGTGAGGGATAGATGGGATGATGCTTGCAGAGTTATTTGAAAAATTCAAAAGGGCCATAAAGTCAGGATAATTGATATTAAATGGAATTGTGGCAATGATGGCAAGTCTGTTATTTGTTTCAGCTATTTTGTCTTGATAATGACAGGAAGATGTAGTTTCTCTGGAGTCTGAAGTTTATTTGCTTGTCAAGGTCAACACATTGTGTCTTTCAAAATTTCACTTAACAGTTATGTTATTCTTTTCCTATCTGAATAAAATAATATTAAGAGTCAGGTAAATACTTAAAAACTTTCCCATTAAAGTTTCAGAGCGGTGAAATGATAAACAGTTTTCACATATTATTTTTTCTTTCATAGTTCTCTAAATCTTACCTGTTGCTGTTCTCTGAAGGCAAGCTTTCAGTATTTAGGAAAAGACTTTTAGTGGATGCTTTTGGTTATTATCCAAAAATCTCAACTCTTGTTGAGACTTTTTTTAAGTTTTGAAGTGTTTTATATTTGTTTTCAAGTTAAGCACAAGGCATACCATCCTTCAAATAAAAACTTTTATAGTTAAATTAAGAATTTAACATTGAATAGTACACATTATACAACTGCACCATGTTTTAAAACAAAGTGGCTTATTAAGCTATGCTGACAATTTTAAGCAATATTTAATCACATATGTTGTTTTATAAACACAACATAATCTTGGAGTATTTCTTTTCTGGTAAAATAGATTTAGTTTTCTAGGGAATATAGGTGAAGTTTATTTTTAATGCAATTACTGTCATAAAATCTTTGGTGAATTAATGTGTATGTTAGTCATTTTCTGCTGGAGAGTGTACTTTTTAGTTCTTGAAGTAGACTGTGTCCATAGAATTTAAATTGAAGGTGATGTCTTTCTACAGTAGGGACTGAATTTATGAGGTGTGGAAATAACAGTGTAATACAATTTCAAAATCTACTTTCTACACTGTGGGAGGAAATGAATCAGTGTGGTAGAGGACCTTCCCCCCTTCCCAAATCAGCACCACTAAAAAGAGAAGTGAAAAGCATAAGAAACTGATCCAAGGCACAGCTTGGCACTTATTTTAGCATGTGAAAGATTACTTAGAGATAATACCTGCTTATATAGTGAAGTGTGTCTGGTTTATGAGTAGTTTAGTTTAGTTTAATAAAATCTTTATAACATTGTATAATATATGAACTCTTTAATATATTTTACAAACTATATGGAATAGAAAAAGGAAAAATGAAGTCATTCTTTTGATCATTTCTATTAAGCTAAAGTTTTAATAGAAAATTTGAGGAATACAGATTTCCCTTTGCCAAAAATGCTCAAATTGCCATTAATATAGGATTGTATTAATTTAGAATTAATATTAACTTGTCTCTTAGTGCCTTTTTTTTTTTTTTTTTTTGAGTCGGGGTCTCATTCTATTGTCCAGGCTGGAGTGCAGTGGCATGATTATAGCTCACCACAGTCTTGACCTCATGGGCTCAGGTGATCCTTTTGCCTCAGCCTCCTAAGTAGCTGGGACTACCAGCATGCATCACCACAACCAGCTATTTTATTTTATTTTATTTTATTTTAGTAGCGATGAGATCTTGCTATGTTGCCCAGGCTGGTCTCAAATGCCTGGGCTCAAGCATTCCTCCTGCCTTGACCTCTCATAAAGTGCTGGTATTACAGGCATGAGCCAATGTACTAGGCCTCTGAGTATCATTTTGCTATAAACATTTTCAAATTTTTTAAAACATTCTATTTAGGTCTGTATTCCAGAGTTCCCCTTATTTTATTCCTATTTATGTGGCAAAAGTAGAAAAATAACCTGCATGTAGAATCCCCCAAAACATAGTATTTGTGGTCCCCAAGTTCAGGCCAGGAGCTGGACCATTTTCCTGGTCTGTAATGTGATGAGGCTACCATGCCTGCCTGCTTCCTTCTGGTCTCTCCCTTCCCCATTTTTCCTGTTCTCCTCCTTAGCCCCCTTTCCCCCACATACAATATCCCATCTGATTTGTAATGACCCTAGGAGAAGTCAAGTTCAAATCCCTCCCCCTGCTTCAGCTCACTATTTGGCCATCTGTGACTCTTACCCCTCAAACTCATGATCACCACAAAGGTGATTGGCAGAAGAATGAATTGTAAGTACAATATATGATTACTAGATGTTTCAAACAATCTCAGATTTATTTTCTTGCCGTTTCTCAGGCCTCAGGCAACACAATGAGGTTTTTTTGGGGGGGGGTAGTGTGTTCAAAACCTTATAATGAGTAGGTTTGGTTCAAACTGTCAGTAACACAGGGCAGTTCATCGTCCCTGTGTGAAGAAACCGTAGGATACACAGATCTGAAGACCGGGCTTCACTCTTTTCTCTGCAGTTGATGGTGACACTGCAGCCCTGACCCTTTTCATTCTGTTTCTTCATCTTAGAACTAGTGACAATTCTTGCTTCCTTCTTCAGTTCGATGGGTGTTTGCATCTTCTCAGAAAAAAAGTATTGTAAATGTAAGATATGCTTTTTTTTTAGACATTGTTATGTTTCTTCTTATCTGTGGGTGTTTTAAAATCATGATGTATTCCTTTTTTCAACTTTTATTTTAGAAAATTTTGGACATATGGCTTGGCACGGTGGTTCACGCCAGTAATCCCAGTATTTTGGGAGGCCAAGGCGAGAGAATTGCCTGAACCCAGGAGTTCAAGACCAGCCTGGGCAACATGGCGAGACTACATAAATAAATAAATAAATAAAACCCAGGAGTTCAGGACCAGCCTGGGTAACATAGCGAGACCCCCATCTCAATAAACAAATAAATAAGCAAGCAAGCAAGCCAGGCGTGGTAGCTGAAGCAGAAGGACTGCCAGCCTGGGCAAAAGAGTGACTCTTACTCCAAGAAAAAAAAGAAAAAGAAAATTTTAAACATATAAAAAAAGTACAATCTTATAAGGAACGCTCGTGTAATCACCACCAGCTTCAATAACTTCCAACTAAGGACTGATCTTGTTTTAACCACATCCCTTTCCAGTCTTAGTCTTTGAACCCAGATTATCTTTGAGGCAAATTTCTGACCTTGTATCATTTTCAAACATAAAAATAGTCTCAAATTTAAATTATCATCTAAAAAAATGAATATTCCTTTTGCATCTTCAAATATCCATTTCCCATATTATTCATAGTCCCCCTATTGACTCATAAACATTGTTTTTCAAATTGTTCCAATCAAGATCCAAATAAGGTTTATATGTTGCAGCTGGTTGATAACTCTTGTAAGAAGCATTTCAATTTTAGCTTCCCTCTCCCTCTTAAATTCCTTGTAGTTTATTTGTCATTCAATATATTTCTTTTTGAGAATTCAAAGTCTAATGGCAAACAATGAAAATCAGTGGACAAAAGATGGCATAGTGAAGTGAATGCTTCTGTTGTTAAATAGGATCATTAGTGCTGTAATTTACAAAAGATAAAATACAATCTAAGTATGCTTCTTAGGGCATTACTCTGACCATTGATCACAGGCTATTACCCCGTCCAGCCAGGGGCCAGCATGTGCAAAATCTATAGAGGAATGGTTACGAAAGGAGATGTTTGTTTCTTTCACAACACAGACAATAGTTAGGACTTTGTGTTAACATTCCTCCTATAAGAAGCCAACAACCAGCATTTATTGAGCACTAAACTAAGCATCTGCCAGACTCTGTTCTTAGTGCTTTAAATGCTTGGGTATTAGCACCAATTTTATCAGTGAGGAAGCCAAGGCACAGAGAGGTTAGACGAGGTGCCTAAGCTTGTGTAAGTGGCAAAAGGCGGAGAAGAGCAGCAAACATACCGGTCTGGCCCCAGACCACAACACCGGCAACCTCATCAGAATCACTCCTTAAATGCTTCAGCGCTTGTCTGAAAGTTCCCATAGCTGAACAGGATTTTATTGACCAGAATTAGAGCTTTAGAGACTAATAGTCTTAATAGTAAATTGTTATGAATTATTGATAATGATAATACTGAAACTAATATAGAACCTCAGAAATATTCTATGCTATAAAAGCTGGTTTTGGAAATTGCATTTTCTCAAAAGACTTAAAGAATAGCAAAGTAGTATCAACTCTTATTATGTGCTGGTGATCCAAATTTTAGATTCAGTACTTTGAGGTGTCACGTACAAAACGGAAGCCAACACGTGAAAATACTCCCCTATTGGGTCACTCAGGAAAATTGTGAAGCATGTAACATCTCCCCAGTAACAGGAAGGGTGCATTTCCTGATAAAATCTTAAAGCAAATTGTCGTTGAAGCTGGGCCATATTTAGAAAGCCTGTTAATTTTATATCAAAACAATGACTTCATCTGCCTGAAGGTGGCCCAGAATATTAGCCCTCTGATGTGTGTTGTAGACGGCTCTGGTAGTGAGTCCTGGTAAAGATGAAGGCACATTCTGACAGCCTACTGCTCACATACAGCCAGCTCATGCCTCTTTTCTAGTTTATCTTCCTCAGTTGTTTATGTAACAGTACCAGCCCAGAGTCCCCTGAAGGCATAACTACACTGAATGATCAAAAATACCACACTTGTGTCTATTGAAGGTTTATATAGTCTTGACACAGTTTCTCTTTCTCTAAAAAACTGAGTTTTCCAAATTAAGTTTTATATGAGTAAAATGTTTTTAGGGAGTATCTTGTTGAAAGTTTGTGATTTTCTTAGTCCATAAGGTTATATAGCTGGGAAAGGTAAGGAATCAATTCTCTGTGTATCATCTGTAATTTTATTTTATTACATCCACTTAACCAATATTTATATGATGCTTACTATGTGCCAGGCAGGCACTATTCTAACCTCTTTTAAAAAGTATTAACT